GTGAGAGGGTAGCGATTGTGCTACAGTCGCACCGCGACACCCCCACGAGTGAAACCGCCGCGCGCGTGCCAATCCTCTGCCCCCTTGGCCGTACACGCGAGAGAGGGCCCGCGGAACAGTGCTATGCTTTTAAGGATCCCGGCCGAGGCTCTGCGAAGCGATATCCCGTTCTCGTGCCAGCCGCTTCGCCGTTCGCCCCGTGTCGTCGTCTCGGCCGCGGGAACTCGACGATACCGCTCGCGGGACACCTTTCGGTAAGTGGTTCGCTGCGTCTCCCGCCGGGATTGTTTTTCGATCAGGACGGCTGCTCTAGCTCCTCTTCCGTCGAAGAGGATGCCTGTTTTTTTGAGTGCTAGAAGAGGACGGGTTAATGCGGGTAGAATATAGAACGCGGTCCGAGGATACCTGTTGATGACCTCCTTAGGAGGCTGACCGCAGGTACCTTTACGTGTTGAGGTTACTTTGAGCGTTTCTCACGTGTGCGACGGAAATGTGCGGGACTTTGTGACGGCCAGTGTGATGTACCAGGTGATGGGATGTTTGGGGCAGGTTTTCGGGAGAGTTTGATTTGTTTTTGGGTGGTACCTTCCTGAGTTTTCGGTCTTTTTAGATTTTGGACTGTGTCGTGAAGCTCACACGTGACCTGCAGGTTTGCTCTTGGTGCGGTTGGCCTGTTCTTTGTGGGGTTCTTGAAAGGGTGATTCCTTTGAGGGGTACTTTGGGATGTTTGCGTGCTACGGAGGATCTTTGATTAATTGTTGACTGGCGGAGTAATACGGGTCTCTGGGTGTTCGTATGGTTTGATTGTAGAATGTTAACGCATTGCGGATCGGATATTTTGTTGTTAATTTTGGTTGGTATTTATCATCCAGTTTGTAGGTAAAAATGTGTTCGAGTAATTTATGGTTTGTATACAGTTATCATTGTCGTGTCGAATATTCTGTTTCAAGAAATGATTCGATATTTAACAGCATTTTTATAATTTTCCTATATTTTTTTGTAATCATAATATTTTTGAAATATATATCATTTTAAAGTTTTTATGTGGCAAAACGACGAAACGCGAAGTATTTCGTCACCCGGTCATAATATGTAAAAATTGGAATTTTCAAATCGCGATTAACCCTTAATGACTCAGAATTGGAAGAAGTGTAAATCGGTTCTGTATTAAGAGTACTCATTTAAAATATAATTTTAATCATTGGGAAGTGTATATAATCAACTCAATTTTAATTGAAGATTACCAGGCACAATTGTTAATCGAATTAACTGTTACATTTCAATCGTCAGGATTAATGTGAACTGAAATTACAGTTCGCTCGATTTTGACGGCTTGGTATGTTTTTGTACAGTAACTATTCAATAACGTAGATCTGAGTTGTTATGTAGTTTTTTGGAAGATTGTGAAAATAAAAAAAAAACAATTTTTGGTTAACGAACTTTGATAACATAATTTGGAAGGTGATGTAAAAATTTTTGATTTTTTACGTGAATCAATTTGATAATCTCGCCGTCGAACACTACTGGATTGTTGAGGGTTAAAATGCTACCAATACAGGAATAAATTAAATAGATTTTATTCAACACAATTGACAATATCATAATCATAATATATACAATTTTATACTTCAATGATTGTTTAAATTGTCGCATAAACGAAAAGTACGTGAATCAGTAGCGTATTATAATCGATCTTTACTCTAATGATCGGTTTTTCTTACTGAATTTTTTAGGATATTAATTATTGGTTTACAAAATAATTAGTTTGAATCATTTTATTGAATATGTAGGCACGATGATATTTGCAGTAGAAAGTGACAGAACAAGTCAGACACGGTCACCACGTTACCTTTGAACATGTTTTGAAGTTTTAATAAAATAGCCCCTTAATGGCGTGAATACACTTCACAACCGCTAATAAACTTGCAGTGCATTACAGTAACTAGACTGAGTCATAATTATTGGTAATAATAGCGAGAGAACAGTGTGGTTAATTTCTTTTAATACTTATCAATGGACTGCAGGTTTTTATGCAGATTCGTATATTTGATAATATCATTACAAAAAGTAGGGCAATTAAAAATGTTTTATATGTTTTATCATTCTATATGTGCTTCATATAATTTTAACAAATGATAACATTCAAATTACAAATTACAACTTTCTCCTATAAAGACTACTTGTCCACTTACGTTTAGTGTCTTGTCGACAAAATTCTGTAAATTCGCGACACATAATGTAACGAATAGCGACCGAGCGAAATTGGTTAACACAGAAGAAAGCTGTTCGGTCGATTTTGATTTGAAAACGCTTTCAATATTATAATTAACGAGGGCTGCGCCGGAGCTACGGGTTATTAAGCGTCTTTTGAAGATTGGCTCTTTGAAAGTCTCAGTGAACAGACTTTTCGGGGAAAAGTTTCGGAGCGATACGGTTTTACATAATAAATCGCCGTGTAATAGAGTCGGGAACCTGTTGAAGAACCTTCGCGTTATCACTACGCTTGATACGAATTGCTTGGCCGTGTGAGTAATGTTGACCGACTATAATCCGATTTCGAGATATTTCGTTGGAAAAAGCGCAGCTATATAAAAATTCGATTAAATAAATTATTATTAAAATTTTTTGAAGATACAAACCTTGTACTGTATTCGATCAATTTGTTCTTACGAAATAGACTCATACAATCGTGTTTCGAGAGTGTAAATTATTAAATAATGGAGGCAATTAAATATACTCTATACAAATAACATGATTTTTTGGAAAAAATTAAAATGCATATTTTACTATATATAACGATGAATGGAAATACTGTTAAAGTGAGAAAATTCTTACAAGGGTATTTACTAAATACATAAATGAGTAATTTCATTTTGAAAAATATTGTATGATATTAACACTAATGTTAAGTATAAGTAAATATGTAAAGATCAAACTTACATTTCGTAGTATATTGACTAATTTGAATAGAAATTCAAGTTTTTATAAATTAGCCATTCATGTAATTACACTATTGTTAATCATCTATTTTCAAATCAGTTAACTAATTTTGAGGTACAAATTTCATTTTTTAATACTCGTGTATGTTAAATATCGATTCAAATGTTGTACAAAGTTCATTGAAGGAATGTTACTCATTTACCGATTGTAATCACCTTCCTCGGAATTTTCTCACTGTACGAATACTATTTACTGCCGCTGTATAATTAATTTCTTCTCTTATCACACTTCACCTTACACATGTATAACAAACGCAAGAAAGTTTACTGATTAATTCTCGCAATCAGATACGATTGTTGCTTTCGTGATTCAGTTGGTGATTTACGTTCGGCGACTGCATATTCAACATACGTACCATTGTTTGACAAATTTTAACAATTAGTAGTTTATAATATTCGGAATCAAGTGATTGTTCTATTTGAATGTGTGTTCACAATGAAGTGATTAATCAAAAGCACAATTCGCGAGTTAGTTTATAATGTTTACCGAATTAATTTCAATTTATCCCCCTACTATAAACCTGAAATTTATTACTTTCCATTATTCATATTTCTACTATTATTTTCGAAACATATAATTTACAAAAAATTCGAAAAAAGTTCTCACAGAACCACTCGTAAGTTTAAATTATAATTTTCCATGCATTACGCACCATTATTAATTAATTCATCTACATATTTACAATTGTAAAGAAACGTTTCTCAAAAAACTGCAAAATTCCTTTGGAAAACCCTATTTTCAAATCAAATTACTTTACGTCCATCGTAATTATTATTTATATTCTCTACTCATTACCTTTATTAGAATAATTATTGCATATATTACTATCAGCAAAGTAATTATTTACCTCCTCTGTTCATTACTAATTACAGCAATCATGTGTCTTTATACACATTTCAAACGAAAACCGGCAAGCGCCAGATATACCTATTTAAAACGGAAGAAATAATAAGTTTCGAAAGCTAATATCTCGCTCAAAAAGAAAAAGAAATGAAAAATTCTTTGCGAGAAGCGCTGATGAGACACAGGGGAAAAAAGAGAAAATAAGAAGAGCGGGGAGGGAAAGAAAATTCTTTTAAACGGTCGGTGCAGAGGTCTTCTTAGTGAACGCAAGGACTTTGTATGTACGAATGCCGTAGACTTCTTTTGTTCGTGGCACCCTTTGCCAATTCATTCAGCGGCGACATATATGTAGCGCTCTTTCCTGAGCCACTGTGCTCGTTCCGAGCACCTGTGGACCGGCGTCCCTCGTGAACTCTCCTTTGGAGAACTGCCAATGACTTCCGGCTGACTCGTAGAACCTGTTGATGATCCCTCCCTACTTCTACGTTTCATGGAACCGAATTAAATTAATTCTCTGCCCCTCTTGTACGCCACAGTTTCTCTCTTTCTTAATTGTCCTGTCACTAAAATAACGCGCTCCAACCCCTGTCTGTTGAACACCTTGAATGGATATCTGGGACGTTTGAATGCCGGAGAGTGTCGGTCTGAATATCTCCAACTGCTGGGACTCACTTATTCCGCGTTGTCGTGGTGGTACTGATACTTCTGAGATTTCCGTGATTCCTTTTCCTTTATTGTCTTTTATTGTAACATTCTTTTTATATGGAATATTTGCTGGAAAACTTACTTTACGTTATCGTTGTGATTTCAGTACTTTACGCATTTCTGTGATTCTTTTTCGTTTGTTGTCCTTTATTGTAATATTCTTTCTTTTCTGCAATATCGGTTGGAAAAATTATTCTGTGTTAAGCAATGATGCTAATAGTTTTGGGATTTCTGTGATTTTTCTATGTTTATTGGCTTTTATTATAAAATTCTTCATTTTTTGGAATGTCTGATGGGACTTAATTATTTTACATTGTTCTAATAATTTTCATACTTTAGAAGGTTTCTGTGATTCTTTTGTATTTACTGTCTGGTGGGGTAATAATACTTCATTCTGGAATATTTATTAATGCCTGTTACCTTTTGAATGTTTTGAAAGCACATTTAGGAATATTTTGAATAAAACCGGGGATTTTAAGTAACAAACTTATTATTGCCTTAAATATATCAAATTGCAGACTTCCTTATTCCATTCTATTGCAGTAATTCTAGATTCTTTATTATTTATTAATCCATATCTTATTCTCAGGCATTATTAAATGCTTCACATTTTTTATATTATCAAAACGTGTAGTAAGTAAATTTATTTGTATCACAATTTAATAAACAACGGAAACCGGTTAAACATAACATCATACAATATGAA